TCACGATCTGTAGAAATCCGAATGATAAAAAGAGCAAAGAGAAATTTCCGTCGAAACGTGCGTAACCCAGTCGAATAGGCGGTTTCTTGACTTTTAAATTTCTTTCTCTCCCCGCAATTTATATAGAGGATGGAGACGGGGTGATAGGGAGGGGGACGGAAGGCCTGAGATGCCGACGTCATCATATAACTCCAACAAATCCTCTGATAGCCAAAAAAAATATCGAAACACTTTTCTTTTTTTGGGGGTAATAGAAGGCTTGCGTAATGGCAGACGACGTTTCTTACGTTGTTCTTTTCTGTTTTCTTTTTAATGTGGCGCGTTTACGTGCATGTCTTTTTATGCTGTCCGGTGTGATAGCGTATAAAAATAGGAGAAAGCGCTGGCAAAGCCGATCGGATCGCTCAATTTGAACAGAGCGCTGGAAGCAGCAAGAAGCCACCAATGCCTCATTTTTGTGGGACATTTTTTTTTAAATTTCATAAAACAACTTTTAGTCAAAAAACAAATAGGGAAAGAGGGAAAGAGAGCTTAAAAATGCTTAGACATATCGTGTAACGCAGAAAAACAACTTGTTTTATACGTTATTTTGGTCCTCGAGTTTCAAGGATCGGTGCTCGAGTCGGTTCCTGACAGTGGCAACGCTTGTGACGTACAAACGCTATGTGGCGAGCAAACTTGTTGGTTTAAGCGTGATTCCAATATCCGGAGTATATAAAATGTGCAAGCCGAATTGGCGCAAATGCTTAGAGATGTTGGGGAAGGGTTCCACTAAAAAGTTGGTTTACAACAGCTCTGACAGCGTTGAGCACTACAAGTGGAGCTGGTTTCTCGCACAAGCAAAGCACTCCCGTATGGAGAGCTTATATCTGGGGCATATATGGGCACATCAAACATGCTATGATTATATACCGCCTATATACAGCCTTATCTGGCATATATGCAGCCTTATCTGGAATATATTCAGCCTGATCTGGGGTATATACAGACTTATATGGCACATATACAGCCCTATATGAGGTATATACTTCGTTATCTGGTGGATATACAGCTTTATCTGGCGGCCGTCTTTCATTGTATAAAAACGTTTAAAAAAACAAGCAAAAAAGTGATTTGTTAGCAAACTGTGCATGATGACTCATTGTTCGCGAGCTAAACATTAGCAGAAATAATCCCAAACTTCAGCTTTGCCAAGCTTGAGTTTGGGATTATTTGTGCTAATTTTCACGAGGATTTGAATGAAGCGTATTTATGTTGAAGTGTTAACATTACGCCCGAATAGACAATTTACTAAATCCCCCAAGCGCCTCGGCCCATACCGAGGAATTATGTGGACGGTGTTCCTTCAGCTGCCTAGTGATCGGAAATTTTGACCAATTCTACGGTTACACAGTTTTAAGTGTAATTCGTTGTCACCCGTAAGAAGTGTCCTATAGAACCCAAGTACCTGTCATATCACTTTTAAAATTTCTCGCCAACCTAGATGAGTTGCAGACATATCTCTTATCGTGCAGCTTCAAAGAAGCTGATTTCAAGTTCCAAACGCCAAAAAGGCTATAAAAAACTCCGCTGAATCCGAGAAAAATCCCGGTTTTGGTTGCTGTAATTTCTTGGCTTTTAAGTTATTCCTGCTAAAACAAGAATCACGAGAATGATAATATTGCAAGAGATTTCGGCGGCTCAGCCAGATTGAAAGGTGGATTGCATGCACACTATCATAAACGCTGCCAATGACGAGAAATTTTAAAAGTGATATGTCAGGTCCTTTAGCTTTATAGGATACTTGTTAAGGTGAATACGAATTACACTCGAAAATGTGTAACCATGGAATTGGTCGAAATTGCCGATCACTAGGGAGCTGAAGGATCAAAGGAACACCGTTCCCATGATTCCTCGTGTGCGGGCCGTTGCACTTGTGGGAATTGTAGACCATGAAAAGAGATAAAGTGTTGATTTCAGGTTTCTGTCCTATTGATAAGCCTGACCAGATCTTGAATTTCCATACTTAGCCAGATCTGCATGTCCATACCTGCTAAAGTTGAGGCTTGGGCGAGTTGCTACATACTTCGGAATCAAAAACAGCGCGGAAAGACGAGGACCAGGCAAAGAAGTGACACAGACGTAGCGCTGGCTTACAACTGAGTTTATTGAACGCAACATCGCAATATATAATTGCGGTGTCACGAACTAAGGAACAGAAAAAATTCAGCCCATGTGATGCATCACCAATAAAAATAAAAGAATAATAAAAAACATTGAAACAAATATTAAAAATGCGCCATGACACAGCCGTACAGAGTAAGTGCTAAAAAACGAGCAAGTGAGGGAACCAGAAAATTCATCTTTTTGCCTGATAGGGCCACAGAAGGACTGCTTACACATGTGGCACCCAACCTCGCTATCTCAATAGCCTCTAGAGTTTCCCGAGTAAGCTGGTGCCTATGACGCTTAACAACCTCACACCGTTGGAACTTGGGAAGGCAACCACAGTCGCGGCAATGAATGCCCAGATGACCAGACACGGTTGTGGAGACACTGTAAGCGTGCTCTCTTAACCTGTCGTTGAGACAGCGGCCCGTCTGGCCAACGTAGCGCCTGCCACACGTCAGAGGGAGAGAATAAACAACCCCCTCCGAACACGAGACGAAGCGATCTCGATGCCTTGTACTGCAAGCCGTGGCCGCCCTCGAAGAAGGGTTAACAGCTCTGCACAACCTGGACAGCTCGTCCGGGGCAGAGAATAAAACGTCGACGTCACACCTGCCAGCAATGCGTTTTAGGTTGTGGGACAAGCCGTGTACGTAGGGAATGACCACAAACTTTCTTCTTCCACTTCCCTTTCTGTTGTTGGCCTCTTCTTCACTTGTCATAAGGCTGCTATTGATATCTTTCAGCAAAGACTCGGCGACCGTTGTTAACACGTGAGAGGGAAATCCAGCATCTGCGAGGCGCTCAGTTTGCCTCTCAAAGCTATGTTTAATTTTATGATAACAAGACCTACGCAGCGCATGTGTATAGCAACTCCTTGCAGTCGCCCGCTTCACAGTTTTTGAGTGAGTGGACTCGAATGGCAACAGTGGCTTTCCAGCACGGTGTTCATAGCTCCAACAAACATGACCTGGACATATAGTTAAATTCAAATCCAAAAAACGAATGCATCCTGCCTCAGGCACTTCATGAGTCAGAACAAGTCGCGAAAGGCAAAGACTGGGTTGCTTTCCTGTGAGCATACGCGCGCCTCCGCCGTGAGAAGCGGGCGTATTGGCCACTGAGTTAGATCTGCGGGCGGCCGATACTCAGTTCGAGACTGCAGTCAATGACACCAGAACGAGAGCTCGAGGTCGCTGCTTTGAAGCGTTCTTTCACAAAACGAGCACTAGCGCTAAATTTACATGTCTGAAAGCCATAAGAGCGCGAGCCAGGCTCGCGATTGTAGCTTTGGCTGCAGTCTCAGCTTAGGGTGAACAGAGTATAGTGTTTTGTTGAAACGCTAAGGGGGGATCGGTGGCCAAGTGGTCTAGCGCACACCAGCTCGGAGCACGTGGAGCGAAAGCTCGCGCTGCAGAACGCAGGGATCCTGGGTCCGAGCCCCACCCCTGCCCGTTTCGATCTGGATGAGCATCGTACCGGCGTGCGGTCATGTATCACTACTGCGTGATGCACGTTAAAGACCCCAGGCTAGCGGCTGTACCGCGCTGGCTAAATTTCTCATCTACAGCTGGGAGACTCGTCGCCCCTGTGAGGCAGACCAAGTTCTAGGCTGTATAAACACACACACAACCCTTTTTTTTTTTTTTTTGAAACGCTAACAATTCGGTTTTTTTTTCTCATTGTCGTGGCAAAGACAGAGGTTGCACAGATGTCAGCAGCTTCACGATGAAGTTTCGCAGATAAACTTGGTACAAAGTTTAAGTTCCGACGGAACCTACATCGTCGTGCCCAGCGTTTCTGAAAGGAAGCCTTGCTGAAACCATATTGTTATTACAATAAACTCTAGAGGCGCAACTGGCTCTAGTGTCTACGGGACTTCCGGTTGCGAATTGAAGCAGACAGCAACCAGTCTACTTTTCCAGACTTCCTGTGCACTCATACGGGAAAACGTACGAGAAATTTTTCTTTGCCAGGGAATAAGAAATCAGCGTTGTTTCTTTACTCTTAACGGATACTATGCTGCTTTACTCACATTATAAAAGTGTAATTTATTAATATAACGTTTTTCTTCCTGTCTTTGTTTTTACGGAGAGTTCCTTAACTTTGCAAAACTTGAGGCCCAGGTCTATGTTGTACAGCATATGTCAATACAAGCTATCAATTCAAACAAAAAGAACAATTGAAAAGTGCGTAAGGTGCATTCAAGCTGTTATAGCGTTCAGATTACAGATGACTGCTTTATTTTGGTTTCTTATGCACAGTTTGTTACTAGTCCACTAAGAGTTCTTCGTCCCACAACTAAATGCTTTGGTCTTGTCTGTTTTGATTATTTGATTTGGCATATATTAGCATCATTGTGGTGTTTTGTTCAGCCGATTCACTCTTTGTGATTCGTAGCATTTACTATAAACGTAAAAACGTGGTCTATAATGGCGGTCTCCGCCGTCAACACGTAATATGCATCTGTATTGGGCTATATTTGCGCTGTGTTCGACGCCATGAGTTCTAAAGAAAAACGTCCCGACACAAATATGTGTGCATTTGTATAAAAAAAACGTTCCGGCTTTTTTTTTTTTTTTTTCACAACACGAAGCAATATTTGCTCTTATAATCGAGCGCGAAGAGACGCATTAGACTTTCCCATAGGAATGTATTACCGGAAGTCAAATTTAGACCCGTTGCTGTCTGCTTCAAAATGGAACAGCATACTAGCGCCTCCTGAACCTCTAGCGTTTAGTGTGATAACTCTATGGCTCAAACTAGTGCTCCAGCAGGAGCGGAACGCAAGGTTCGCGTTTCTTCACCGTCTCCTGGGAACAAAGCCGTGGTGCTGAATTCTCCCCGCTCAGGTCCTCCTCTAGCGCCATCTAACTGCACGCTGACCAACCAGACGGAAGTGGCCTTCCTGGCCGAGTGCCGCGAGGACCACATCGGCGGCCCCAGGCAGCTGTACTCGTTGGAGGTGCACGACGTCTCATGCCACCGGCTGCTGGCCAACCTGACGGCAGACCGGCCGGCCTTCTGGGTCCAGGGAGTGCCAGCGGGCATCAACGTCGTGCTCGTGCTGTACGCCGCTAACCAAATGGGCCGCTCCCAGCCCGTGCTGCTCAGGGCCGAGGCCGCAGACCGCCACTGGGAGGGCCTTCGACACGGTAAACATTTAAAGGCCTCAGTAAAGACATCCTTTGATTGATGCCATATGCCACCTTATCGACGCAACGAGCGCGAAAGAGCGAAAAAAAGAAAAGATAAAAAGAGGGGCATGATGGACGTGGCGTTAGGAGGAATGATTTCGTGTGAGAGCGCAGTGGACGCCAGAAGCCCTTGTCGAGAAGAAGCAAGTAACGCCAAAAGTGCAACGTGACGGGTTTTATTGTCTTAAGCATGTTCTTCGGTGTTGGTACACCATGACAGCGCGATTTTTGTCTGTTTGCATAATTTTGCATCATTTTGCATGTTTTCTGTCCCTTTAGCCGTGGTCTGATTCAAATTGAAACCAACTATAGCAATGCCGTCTGATATCTTGGAGCGAAGAAGGCGCTATCGTAAACACGCAACTACGAAAAAGGAAAAAAGGTTGTGTGATGATCACACGACGTGATGCTCTTATTGAAAGCGACAGCAGTGCTGCTTATTGTCGTGGCTGCTACCTCTACACGTCACGCACTCCCTGCACTCGGCGAAGTTAGACGTACGGATAGTACTGATTTTTCATGTCCCGAAACACCACCTCGACATTCGGCGTCGCCGGCACCCAACCTTTCTCGAACCATAGTCAATCGCGCACAGCACACGCGAATCCGAATACGTTATCGAACACACGCTGTTTGAACTGCTTCGTCACGCTTTCATTACGTTCTTGTCAAAGTTCCTGGCCTCTCTAGGCTTGACGCCTGAGCAGCAGCCGCTTGCTCAAGCGTAATCTAAGGCCGACCTATTATAAAAACCGACGATTATAGCAACATGCGCTTCAGGGAAGTGGTTTTAACCAGCGCCTACCGCTATTTATTCCGAAGGACGCCGTTGAAGGGGGATTTACCGCTTCGCGCTCAGCCGGCCGCGTGTGTCAAAGGAACGCGTGACGTAACGGTAAATCTGATCAGCGCGTGATATCTCTCTGGGCTCCAACTTCGTGACGCCACGGCCGGTTCATGTGTCCCCGCTGCGCGCTCTCTATCTCTTTCTCTTTTTGTACAGCGAAGCTGTTTATGAGTCGTTGGTCGGGTTTCTTCGTGTCCATCGACAGCAATAGTCGACAGAACAGTAGTCGACAGAGCAATAGTCGACAGATAAAATAGTCGACAGAAAACTCACGCGCGCACCTTATCCCCGTTTGCGCACAACTTAACTCTTATCAAAGGGTTTTGACACTTCTCGTGCGATAAAACCACAGAACAAGTGTCAAAATTAAGTGATAAATGATAAATACGTAGCGCTCCCCGCTTGCGTTTCTTGGCAAAGATTGTGGTTGCATAAGCTGCCGTGGCAACGGCAGAGCACGGAGCATGAAGTGACGTCACTAGCCCCGCTAACAATGGGAAGCATGTAGAGCTCCCGGCATGCGTCTAGCGGTAAGATTGCAGGTGCTTAAGCTTCGGTGGCCACGACAGCGTACGAAGTCTTTCATTTTTGATACGGTGCATTTACTTTCTTCCGTCCATCATTTGGCATGGGCACTTTTGCTGTTTACAGACATAAACTACCGCTTGCCTGTTAAGCATCTTCCGGTCGCCCCGTCTTTGCGAGCCTGTTGAGCTTGCTTATGTCATTACTGCTATAAAACAAATTCTACACGGAATACAAAGTTGTCCATGTAGTGGCAGATTTCATGTCGTGTAGTGTGTAAAGTTGCAGATTTTACGAGGGCCTTCGGCTGTGCAATACGAAAAATGTAAAAAGAAGTGTATAACTTCTGAATGCGACAAGGGCTAGTTCTGAACCTTTGGCAACTGGTACCATCTTTTAGCGCTGCATTTGAAAAGAGAAGGAGCTTTCCTCAAAGCGAAGTTTATTTTTGCCGTAAAAAAGAAAATACTGTTGTTGTTTTTTATTGTTTCTTGGGGGGGGGGGGAGACATTTTGCTTATGTTTGTAATACCAGATTGTAAGAAATAGTAAAAAATCTTAGACGATCTGTAGAGGCTCGCCCAATGCAACGACCTGCTGCGTTGAGTGCATGCACTCAGCTTATCACCAGGGTACTAGAAATAACAATCCTCGTTTAAGGAGGCAAGCTAGAAACACACAGACACAAAGGCACGCACCAACGCACAGACAGACACAATATAACATAGTTCCTTAAATTGACTTACTCTTCAATCCCAGGAGGTGAATGGAATGGCTGCGAGCAGGGAAACTACTTGGTCATCATTCTGGTTGCAATCACCTTCATCACCCTCTTTTTGCTTCTCCTGCTGGTCGTCGCCGCTCGGTGTCGCAACAAAAAGAGGTTAAAAGCTATTGCCGGTAAGAGTTCATACACAGCCACCTGTGAAGTTTTCAGTTTCATTTATCACCCTTTAAAGGAGAAGTGCAGCGATGGTTTTGTACTTTACGGAAATACATTTTTTAATAAATGTCTCACATTTATAACTTATTAAACTTGCGTTAGATTTTCTCCCCAGGCAACGATAACAGCAGAAAAGAAATTATTAAAAGACCCCTTGCGCTCACAGACAGAACAGGCATCAACCTGACAAAACAAGCAGCAACCTGTCTGCAACTGGACGCACAGGATACGCGCCAAGTTCCAGACATTGTTAGGGTTTGGCTATTGTCGTCATTGCAGTGACTGGTCACGAGTCATTGCCCAAATGCTTGTCAAGCTATTCATAATCAGCAGCCCAAATCGAGTGCTCATGAAATCCTCCCGTTTGCTGTGGGAGTCGCGCTCAAATAGCGTAACTTGGGTGAGGATGCCAACACTGTGACCTCCGAGCTACGTTATCACGTTTTAGAGCGCAGCTCTTAGGGGCCCGTTCCCGGCTTGAGCGGCGTCGGCGTCGGCGTTGGCGTCGGCGTCGGCGTAACCAAGGTCATCTCAAGGTCAGGTGACCCCTCCCAAGGTCATCTCAAGGTCACGTGACCCCCTGAAGGTCACGTGACCCCAAGGTCACGCGACCTTGGGGGTCACGTGGGGTCATCTTGGGATCACGTGACCCCCAAGGTCACGTGACCCCTCGAGGTCACGTGACCCCTCCCAAGGTCATCTCAAGGTCACGTGACCCTTTGAAGGTCACGCGACCCCCAAGGTCACGTGACCCCCGAGGTCACGTGGTCTCCTCCCCAAGGTCATCTCAAGGTCACGTGACCCCAAGGTGACCCCCACGTAACCCCCAGGTCACGTGACCCCTCTGAGGTCACGTGACCCCCCGAGGTCACGTGACCCCTCCAGGTAACGTGACCCCCAAGGTCACGTGACCCCTGAGGTCACGTGGGGGTCACCTTGGGGGTCACGTGACCTTGAGGTGACCCCCATGTGACACCCAATGTCACGTGACCCCCAGGTCACGCCTCCCCGAGGTGACGTGACCCCCCTCCCCAAAGTCACGTGACACCCCCCCCCCCCCCCCCGAGGTCACGTGACCCCCCCCCGGAGCATATTAAAGAATTAGGGGAGGAGGATGAGGAGGGGTCTATTCACCCCTCAGTACCCTTCACTCCTCCTCCTCAAGAGCTGCGCTCCAATTCGGCGTTACAGGGATTTGTAAACGGCTTTCACTTTTTTTGAAGAAAAGAATAAAAAAAAAATTATCTCTTTTATCCGTAAAATTACAACGAAAAAAAAAAGTTTGATTGTCACTGGCGTTGCATTTGGGCATACTTGGGTCCCACTAGTGCACTAAGCTAGTGTCGAGTCGAACAGATGCCCACCAAATATTGTTTCTTCGCCTTTTTAAATTACACTATGTCGACATGAAACAAAAAAGTCTCGAATGAAAGTTGTTTTTTAATTTAAGGAAAAACGATTCAAATCGGGGGCTCTAGACTCCTCTGACACAAAGCTTGAATTGACAGTTCCCAGAGCGCCCCAAATGTGCTTCAGTGAGAAACGTGCGGCGCCATTGTCACAAGCGAAGTCACAGGGCGAAAATCGCTGAGTCACTGTGCCGTGTACATATGCGCAGCGTCTGATATACCGCACAGCAGAGTAACAGCGCGTGCTCGGAAGGCATTCCACAGTCCAGCAGAAAAAGATGGCAGCGCGAAGGCCATTTTTGCGAAATGTCATTACTTCGCCCCCAACTTCGTCTTTGACGAGACTTGGGACCTTACTCGCCTTTAGTTAGCACTTCGCACCGGAAGCGGACCGAGCTCTCACACTAATTACTGAGAAACTCCGATTTTAAAAAGAAGCCCCCGGAATACTGACCGTTGAATAAGCCGGGTACACCTGTCACATGGTGGTTTAAAGTGGCGTACAGATTCTTATTTTTTTTTCAGACTCAGCGAATAGAGATTTCAATTCGGGATAGCCGATTATGCGGGCTGAGTGGCCCCATACTACTCGTGTGGCACAGATCCTCCTATCAGCCGCTTGCATTGTGTTCATCTCACTTACCTGTTAAATGCGTAGTGCTTCTGAAAAATCATTGCTACGTTTTTCGTTTTTTTTTCTTTTTTAACAACAAAAATTATATTTTTCGTGTTTTTTACTTTTATTTTTTATAGCGTCTTTGTTTAATATTTTTATTTTAAATCACGTTTTTCGGCTGCTTTAAAGTGTTTTTTTCTGCTATTGAGGTGTGTGACGTAGTAAGCGACTTGAATGACTATGGTGCAGAGACATCTGTGATAGCCCATGAAACCCTTTTTTGGAAGGAAATAGCTTTACCGCCACAGGCGCACTCTAGACTCCGCGTTGAAATAATGCCTCTAGTTACATGCATATACAAGTTTTAGAGATGTGGCAATAAAATATTACCTTTTTTTCCTCGCAGGCAATAAATCCATACAGAACGGAAAAGCGTAAGTGTTATTTACTTGGTTACATTGCTTGTATTTTTTTTTTTTTTTGTCAAGCCTGATTATAAATGGGTTTGCTTCAATTCTCAGGTTTGTTCTGCAATCGGAGGAAAGAATCGGCGCCTTCTACTTGAAATTTCATATTTTGATAAAGGCTGTTTTTTGGTTTTGAATTTTACCTTGTAAAATGTTTAAGCGTACCTCTTCTTCTTTTTTTTTTTTGCGAAATAAGATTGTAAACTTTCCCACAATCCAATGAAAACAACAACAAAACAATAAAACCGACATAGCGAGGTTCGTGCTTGCGGCGTAATCTCTGGATAGGCACGGCGTCTGCTTTTGACTTGGTGCGCAGTCTCTTCGATGCGCCCATTGTCTGACACGTTTTCTGAGACGCTGTTCGCTCTTGAACCTGCTGACAAGTTTTTTGGACTTATTTTTCAGATAACGACTTGTCAAGATAAACTCCCCTACGTAGATCTCTCATGAATATTTGAGCCTTCTACCTGCAGTCGCCAATTTGTTTCTTCCGATTCTAGATCGAGTCAGATTATTTCAACCACTCTAAATAGAGTGCGATTTATTTAGCCTTATTTAGTTTTTTTCTAAAGAAGTCAGGAAAGTTAAAATAATGCAATTTGAGAAGGGTAGTTATACTGCCAGGGAAAGGTATCTTATAGAAGCTACCGTCGCCTTGATTCGACAAATAATTGCCTAAATTTTTGTTAATTAAATGTTTATTTTGAGAAAAAAAAATCTAATATCAATTAAAAACTTGCTGAGCGTCATTGAAAACCACTATATCAGAGAATTCGAGAAAAGAAATTTCGAGCGTGGGGGAAGCGCGGTGATGCGCCAAATGCAGCACATGTGTCACATCAGTAAGGCTGGCGGTGCAGAAACGCAGATAATGAGAAAAGTGATTAAAAGCATAAATTAACTTTTTTATTTAAAAATTCAATTAAAAAAAATGTTGGTTTGTTTATATCAATATGTCACCATACATTGATTAAATTAAATAATGAATCAATATACCACTTATTGCGGTGATTATTGCCCCGATTTTATCCCTATCGCCTGCACTGACCGCGGAAGTGTAGCCTTTATTGAGTTTAAAAAAAAAAAATTCAAAGCCTAAGAAACAACCTGCATATTGTCATTTAGTAAACACTCGAACTCAAAAAATTTGTGACACCGTTCGAAATAAAGTTGAAGTTGACTTGACGACAGATGATTTTAAACGAAACTTATTCGATGTGAATATGCCTAAGAAGCAAATAATATCAGTTATATTAACATATTCGTCCTAACGAACCGCACGTTGCAGGCGTGTGCACGTAACTGAAAAAGTAAGGAATCACAATTACAATTACGCGAGGCGAAACTGTAACTAAAAGCAGTTACAATTACACTTACAATAAAGTAAGGTACCGTTATCATAAAAAGTAACCCGTTAGTTTCGCGGCGTTATTTTCTGCCTTACTATCCTAGGGTAAGACACAAACACAAGGTTGTTATGGAAGCGTTTATTGTTACCACCAGTCACACTTTTGTGACCTTGAGCAACAGCTGGTTCTCGAAAGTCTCGTCGGACATCTTGTCTCGTTTCTAAGTGAAGACGTCGTCCGCCGCGAGAAACACTCTTGCAATTCAGGCACTCACGAATGCCTGACGCGCTGCATCGCGTGCTACTAGAAAAGAATTGAAAAGCTCTCTGCCCTGGTGAAAGTGCAAAGCCTTGTTGTTACCGCCAGAGTTCGACACTGTGAGAGTAGCCAAACTATAAATATTATATTAAAGATAAATAAACCTAAAATAAAATCCAAAAAGCAAATATTACCCGGCAAATATCGCCAAACGGTGGTACAGTCAAATAGCAAGACACGGCAATTACACATGACAAATAAATTTTAGATTTCTTTTTGTATCAATCTTTTAAACGTTCAGAACACTAGTTGTGTCTTGGTTGAGACGTCGGCAAGTAAGAGGATAGAGCTTTTTGGATATTTAACCAGCCAAAACGTCAGGGGTATCCTCAGAAAACAAAACAAAAATATAATGTCAATTAAAAGGAATATGTAGACGCATGTATGCATTGCCTACCGTTTCTTGAGGCCGTCCAAAACGAATGTAACATGGGTCAGACGTGCCTCAGCTCAGTGTTCTTCAGCTGAATGTCAGGTCAGGCAACGGCAGTGTCCTCCCACAGGGACAGTAATAGTTCTAGTATGGTCAAATACGAGCTATATACGAGTCTTATCATACTTCCACGTGTGGAAGGTGTAACCAGGCACCTTTATTCTGAAGCAGAGCGTCCAGCAGCTAGGGAGCACGTTTCTCACATCACGGTAGTACCATCGCTGAAAATTGCCATAAATTACCGATGACGTGTTCTGGTATCGTAAAAAAGAAAAAAAACACAAAACGCAGAAAAAGAATGACAAGAATATAGGTAACCTGCAGCTTTTAAAAGAGTGGAAATCAGCACAAATGCAAATTAACGTTCGTGTGCCCCAAAGCTGGAAGTGTTCTAATATATTTTGAGTAGCTTACCAGTTAATGTCAACATTTTTTCAGTCGATTTTTCGGTTGAGCGTAAAACGGAGAGTACCCTCCCCTAAATTTGTGACATTATAAAAACTGTCATAGTGGCTATAACCGAGGATATCATTGTTAATTGTTTCGAACTTTTGGGAGGCCCGCTGTCGGCAATTGTCTTGTGTCCTCTTTACGTCTTCGAAAGCATGGAAAGGGTGAAGAGGCAAAACGAAAACACATGAACAGATTCGCTAGATTCGCTCGCGTGCGCCTTGACAGTTTTTTTTTTTGGTTTGAGTAAAACATTTTGATATTAGAAGCTTTGGCTAATATTGTTTCAACGAGCGCCCCGTTCTTTGTATCAGTGTGCCTCCCCCTTCGCCGTGGGGGATCAAGCTGACGAGTTACAACTTGCAGATAACCAACCCAACAAAAACAAAATTCGGATCGTTGTTTAGCTGACGTGAAGGAAGGTTTTCAGCATGAGAAGGGACGCCAGGTGACGGTGTGATTCCGGTAACAATTACCCTTACAACATAATACAAAACAAATAAGAAAGGACTTTTTTTTGTTGTTTTACGTGTTTTATATTTCCGCTTTCTTGCTTTTTCCTCGTGAATAAAAACGAAGATGAGACGAATTACAATTATAGCCTAATGTAAATACTCCAGTTCATTATTTTACAATTTCTTTGTAAGATATGTAATTATTTCATCACAAAATTACTGCGAAGTGTAAGGGATTACAAGTAATTTTGCTACTTGTAACGAATTACGCATAGGTCCGACACGTGGTTACCTTTTCCTGCACCCTGCAGCGCCATGTGTTGACGCAGGAGTGCTGTATCCCGTTAAGCGCGACCTAATACATTTGGACACATATTTTAATGTATAAAACCTTCAAATGTAATATTGAAGCTTTTTATTATTCTTAGAATGTTTTGTTGACTCATGTAAATGGCTTTGACAGTTTCTTATAATTTCACCCTGGTCACTTTGCCTTCATTTGTCACTTCCCTTTGATCTGATATGTGTGTTAAACGAGCTTGATTTACCCAAGGATGTATTTGTGGAACCTATGCCTTCATTTTCAAAACTACTTATCAGAGGTACACATGCTAGAGTTTGCCCCCATAAAAATCAAAAAGGAAGCAAGCATTTAAGTTTAATTCCAAATTTGATACGAAAACAACAAGAAATTTATTACGTGTTTTACTCGTATCCTAGAAATCCGACATTCAAATGATTATTTCAACAGTCAACAGAAACCATGACGTTAGGTAAAACAGCATACAATATTTAAATTTGCGATTCAGTCCACTCTTATTTTGTGTTTCCATTATTGCAGACAGAAACAAAAGACATTGTCTGCTTAATTATGCAGCTGGGTAACTACAATAACATTTTACACGAATAAATAGTATCCTTTATGTGTTATGCTCCTATGGAGGTCTTCTGTGTGGCTACAAAAATTAATGTCTTCAATTATATCCAAAGGTATAGATTCTAGCGGGTAGTGTTGCTTTGTCCAGAACGAACTTACAGTAATTTATGGCTGAAAAAGATTATCATTTATTAGAAGGACTGGCTTTGATGTTTTAACGTTTGATAAATGTTGCTGTTTTTAAAGCTTGCTTGAACCAGATGCTTAGTACTCATGGTTTCTTTTTTTTTTTTTTTATTCACTTGCAGTTCCATGCCTGAACTCTGCACAGAGTCAAGGTTCAAAAGCAGCAAGAACATCCTTTGGCCGGTTTAAAGGGTTGAAAAAAGGCGCTAAGGACGTTTCGGTGGTCACCGACATTTCTTGGACATGATATAGACATTTACATTGTCTTTCCGGTGCTCAACTACGAGATGGATGAAATCATCGAAGTTAAAGACCTCTGTCCGCTGTGTGGACGTCGTAGTACTGCCGCCGACGGGGCGTGGAACTCTGGTGTACAAGATACGGTTAAAAAGATGAAGATGTGTCATAGACGGGGTTAGCGGATTTCGATAGATGCCGGTGGTGTCACTGTTGGCGTGACAAAGAGGGTCGGACGCTTGGTCAGCTCTGACTGATTGCTCTCAACTAGTACTCTTCTCACGCGTTGTGTTGTTGGCATCTTGCTACGTCAGGAAAACCAACACAACTTTTTGTATTCAAACGGGGAGAGTTACAGAGTAACGAAATCAATTTATAAACGCTGATCACCACCAGGAGTCGAAACCGCAACACGTTTCACACCTGGCTCTGCTGTATTCACAACACGAATATATTCTTTGTGGATTGGACCAATCGTCATCGTGCTCTGAGCATACGTGAGCCACGACACTTTGTAATTCCTTGAATATGGAGCCTGGAACAGTTCTCGGACTGGTGTATTTACCACGACATTATTCTTATTCCTTGACGTCTGCGTGATGACGTCAAAGGCGTGACGTGATATCATTGCCTGTCGCCATTTCCGCGTGGTCGCAGAAGCGAAGGTGGACACGACAGACGCCTGTGCTTCTGTGTCTCTTTCTCTCCCAGCTACACATGGGAACTTCAGCAGCCAAGGGGTATGGTGCCCCTACGACAATGTAACTTCCGTGCGGCTTTTGTCTTTTTTTTATGAACGATGAATTGTAGCTTTTGTCCGCGGCAGTGATGGACACCATGTAAGGGGAGTTATGTGCACTTAAAAACTGATGTCTTCGACAAAAACTTGCAAGGTAGCGTCCCTTTCCAAGTCAAGTTGGCTCAAGGTTTGTCACCATGTATTAATAAAACAATCTCGTTCATGAATTAATCAGCAATATTTCACGATAAATGGCAAACAAAGCACGTGTGATGACTCCATGACAGCCCATAAATTAAAGGCTCGCGTTCAGCGGCGTCATTTGCATCTGTCGCAAAGCAAGCACGTCGGTCCTTGTTTTCGTTTCCTAACGTTTTCCCTGGCTCGGCCGATCCTTCGGACCCACCTGGTCTTCTGTGCCATTGTCAGGGACTTCAGTGCGGACTCTAGTGAGCCCAACAGTAATACAACGACCTTCATAAATGCTTGCAATGCGGTTTTGTGCTATGTACTTATTACGTAAACCCCTTGCCAATCTTTTTTGCGTGGGCGCGTGTAGGAACAATAGCCATTAAAATTTGCATCTATTCAGTTTAATGTCTTCGATCAGCATAACGTCGCTACCTAAGAGGGTGGATATTATTTAAATAGCCAATGCATCGGCCAATTTCTATCTACGTGAATGTAAAATGTTTAACTTTCATCGACCGGCAGTCGCAATTATAAATGGCAGATAGACCAAGTTAAAGACTATCACTTACACGCTTGTAACGATCGATAAAGAACATAATGCATTGACTTTACATGTGGCGGTGACTCGCAACTAAGGAAGGAAGCAGAGGCACGGTCGTCCGGCGAGAGTTCGGTTACTGTGATATAAATGACGGGTAGTCCCGAAGGACTAATAGGAAAACTTCTGTCCTTCATGTTCGCTTCTTTACCTGGGTGGCGCTGAAACCATCGGTAGTAGATCACTTTTCAATTCTCAAAATCCGGTGCGGGATTTGTCCCCTTTCCTTGACGCGCCACCGAGGGGAGGGGGGGAGGGGGGCAGGGGGGGGGGGGGTGCGCTGGTGCCTGCCAGAGGCTCCAGAGCGTCTATACTTCGTTTCAGCTTAAAGCCCGACGCCCCAACCTAAGTTTTCTGCCGGAAAGGTAATCCCCTTGGGGCAAGGTAAAAAGTTGGGGCAAGGGAAAAAGATGGGGAGCACACAAGAAAGGAGGACACGGGCGAAAGTGGAAAGCGCGAATTGTACAACGGCCTTTAAGTCCAGTCGCAGCCGAAGCTGCACTCTAAGAAAAAATGGAGGAAAAAGATAGCAACCGCGCGTCTTCCTCCCTTCTACTGACGCGCCCCCAAGCGGACACGAGAAGAAAAGAGGAACGAGACGTTTTCCTCCTTCTCCAGGCAGACGGGAAAAAGCTTTCGCACTCCCAACTCATCTTCTTTCGGTTACGTTTTTGAAGCACGTCGCGTGCGTTGTTTAATAAATGTTGTTGAGTTGACTGAGCTTAAGCGGCAGCGAAGGCCGTCTGCGATTCCGTCTTCTAGTCCAAACGCGCAGAACATTTCGGTTGCATTGACGTTTTTACCAATAATTGTATCTAAAGAGCAAACGAAGCCGCTAGAAACAGCGAAGTTGAGGAGCAGTGCCAGCAGCTCTAGATACACTCGGTAGGACGGCTGTGTTTGGTTTGCGGGACCCACGCGCGAGGAGGATAGAAGTGTAGGAGAGGGCATGACGTGAGCGACGTAGCCACCACAAGCCATGCTCCCTTGACGCCTCCGTCTCTTTTTAATTTTCCTCCTTACTCTCCTTACTTATCAGCCCAACACGTAACCGTATCTAGCCTTCGATCTGATAAAACCTACCGGACGGAGCGCGTGCAAGCCTGCAAGGAATCCTTCTACAATCAATCATCCATCTCGTACGTGACATGTCACGCGCACCAATCGCGCGAGAGATCTGCGGTCCCGTCGGGCACAATATCGTTTAAACTTTTTTATGACTAGACTTCACCAATATTGCAATGTACCCCCTCCCAGTACTTATAACGTCCTTGCTCACGCGGAACTACAGAAAGGGAATCACGCAGAACTGTGTCGACGTTTTCGATGCTATGGAAATCGCAGGAACTGCGCCCAAGACAGGCAGGTTTTGCTGCCGACTGCCTGGGTGCCTTCCGTGCTGAGTTCGGTTCTGTTTTCCCATGCCGAGTGCCAACTGGCAATCAACGTGGTTGTGTATTTCTGTGTGTTAGCTACATTGCAGCGTCATCGTGATGGCAGTGTTGTGCGTCGTGAACGGAAGAATGGAATTATCGCTGATGTGACCGTGTGTTCGCGTATCAGTGGTGTGATGAGATGATGAGATGAGATGACGTAAGCTGTCGGTCATTGATGCCGCTGGTCGGGCCGTGATCGGAAGGGGTGGGGTGTCGCAGGTTGACATTTCGCTTTACATTATATTAAAGAGTTTAAGGCCACTTGAGGGGATTACGTGCAATCGATCGACGTGCGGATTCTCATGTTGGAACGCTGGTCTGAACGGGAAGCTCCTATCGTGTAGTGGCCAATGTGACTGTCAGTCCCCGAGAGCGATTGCGCCCTGGGGGAAGGACTGAACAGTTCGAAATTATGACGGAAGGTAGGTATATTTACAGTGTGGAATTTTAGCATTAAAAATCAATAGTAGTTAAAATCGAAAAAAAAAGTTGTCCTTTATTTTGCTGTTTAAATATACTACGGTTCCTGGAGAAACTGCCCTCCGAGTGGCGCGCTGGTATGAGCGCTAGATGTTTTCGAGCTCGCCACGGCGTAGCACCGTACACTTAACACCTGCCACAAGTCGTGGCTTTGACTGCATTCAAGTTGATCGAAAAGCTATTTCTCTGCCCGTAATGCATCACTTCCAGTTGAGTGAATGTCCGCTCTACAGAGAGCAATTCAAGACGGCAATTGCAGCCCTGCGCGAACAGCAGAAATAGCAAAACAAACACTACACTAGAAATGCGGGCTACAAAGTGCCGTGCTGGGAAAGAAACTCATGGCTTGGAACCGCATTGAAGCGGCTAGACTTACTGGCTTTCAAATAATTACGACATGATCAAGCGTTTGCTTTTTGATAAGAGATTCATCCCCTGAGAAAATAAACATACTCTCAGAAGTACGATATTGCTGGAAAAAAATCGACATGTTGGGAATATTTTTTTATTGCTTATGCAATCACCCACAAATTCAGTACGTTCCAAACGACCAGTATAAAAGACGGCAACGCGGAGCTAGGTGTAGTGTTCGGGTTAGTGTGCCGTTGTACTGATGTTTGTATGTATTTGCATGCACTCAATGTATGTTCAGCTGATGCGTGTAATATGGGTAATGTGGATATCACAAGCTGCGCGGCTACGCTACGCGGCAACGCCATGGTTTCTTGTTACCGTGATGAAATGAGCCAAGAGGCTGCTTCGGATTTTCTGCTTTTGAGAGCGGCTTTTGGTTTTGTGGGCGAATGGTTTACCACTCCGTGATGTGCGGTTGACGAAGGAATTGTGGCTTGAGGAATAGCAAAGCTAAGACATAAAGTGCTTGAAGTAGCTGGGTGCCGGTTGTCTCCGTTTAACACCGCAGTGCTGACGACGAGAAGACTGAGTGACTGCATGCTTTCAAAACGTAAGTTTCTTTACCTGCAGGGGGAAGCCGGCTTCGGAAATAAATACAGACGCGGAAAGCTTGTGTTACGTTTTTATTTGCTGCTTCTCTTGCCCCCTAAAAGGCTTAGTGTTCTTGTTAAGCCTTATTAAGCTCGAATTGCTCGATTCGCGGCCGCCATAATGAGATGCAGGCGACGGGGAACTTTGCAACCCTTCTTTCAGGGACAAAAGTTTCTCCGTTTCAGAAGAAACATATGTATCAAGAGCGTGCCTCCCTATAAAGAGGCCTATACTGACCCTATTTTCTAAGAGTGTACGAGCCAATGGGACCAATCAAACCACGTCAAAAGCGCGAGTCACTTTCTATTTTGTTTTCTTGATTCGTTGAGCAATCATAGAACACGTACCGAAACATAGCAAATATCCCGATGAGACGCTTTTGATGCTGTCGGATTGGTCCCATCAGCTGGTAGCGTCGGCTGCGTTTGGATTTAAGCTGATTTAACATTTAAGGTATAACCCGGCGCACACTCTATTTGTCCCACATTTTAACCTTTTGTTT